TTAACTTTGGCACACTGGCTGGGAGGGCTGGCTCTGTGCTCTGGTGAGGGGATGACCGGGGACTATTCCATTCCCAGTGAGACTCAGTTCCACATATAGGGGAGTTTTTGATCTGAATTAGGCCAATCCAGCCTTCACCTCTTCAGAGTCTACAGCATCCAGGCTTAAAGCTGCTTGTATCATCTTCTATTTTGCAGATCTTAAAAGAGTTAAAACCTTTGGTCTGGATTTTTCTGAGTCAGAACTTACCAGAAGTGGCTTATCTCATCTATCTGCTCTATACGGTAATTCCTTTACACTTGGCATTTTTTGAGCTGCAGAAAGGGGGAGGAGAAATTCTGCACGCTGCTTAGTCCTTGGGCTATGTTCAGCCTCCCCACACACACAAACACCGTCCAGTTCCAGCTGGGACCTGAGGGGCTTGCATGTGCCTACATGCCTATTATAGAGTTGGCAGAGGTGACCCGAGCAGGGTTCTGGGCCTGGGGCAAATCAGCCTGTGAGGGGCCCTGTCCCCACATGTCCCTGTGGAAGCTGGTGTCGGATTTAGTGGCAGGGTGCCAAGTGGCGGGGTGTGAAGCTGGCGGCTGTGCTGAGTTGCCGCAGCTGCTCCGCCCAGCTCTGCGGGGCTCCCCAAAGCACAGGGCCCAGGGTGGTTGCCCCGATTTGCACCCCACCCCTGATGCCAAGGACAGCCCTGAGAGTTGGGCCCAAGTCCTAAGCCTTCTAGACATTCACAGTTCCTACTGAAGAGTGTGCCAGGCTCTTCAGGATCAGGTTCACTGTATTTCTCATCTGTCCAGAAAGAAACCATAGGGTATTATGTTGCCCTTGAGCTGACTGGCAAATGAAAAGATCCTGGCAGTCTTTCCCATGGCCAGAATATCAAGAAAATTAAGCAAAAAGGCAGTGAAATCTGCTGGCACAAGATACCTGGTGCCTAGTAAGATGCTTTCCCCCTTCACAATAGTTCCGGTGGTGCCAGAGAGCTTCTGCATCCAGGCCACTTCTTGGGCCTGCTGCATGGCCATGGGGCCAGCATGTGCTGACGATAGCCGTAGGGGGCCCCACCTTCCTTCCAGACCAAGACAAAACAGAGGGAGCATAGACCCAACAAATGCCAGTGCTCCGCATCCTAGAGGAGTTCCTGAAGTTCTTATCACTGCGGGGGCAGCACCGCTACAATGCGGACAAAGCACATAGCCTCTCATCAGAAGGGCCCGAGTGCTGAGAACAGCTCGCGTTTCTCTGAATTCAGTCACACCAATAACTAGTCTCCAAACAGCTTTTTCAGTTTGTTTGAAATTGTTCTGGTTTGCTCTGAATGAAGCAGAATCCCCAGGTGTTCGGCTTTGTGATAATCTCCCAAAAACTTCACTTTCTTTTCTGTTTGAGCTCCCATTAAAACAAACATCATTTGGGGATGAAAGTCTGCTGGCCAGCTGCACTGAGACACAAACCAAACCTCCTTATTAGACAGCCTGTGTTCTTCCATGCCTGGTTGGAGGGGTCACCGTTGAACAAGCCCCTTCTCTGAGCATCTTGGTTTGCTGCCTTGGCAGTCTCAGACCAGAGACACAGCTTTAAGCTGAGCCCTCCCACGATGTGGCAGGACAAATGCTGCGACTGGGCTGACTGCACACATTAACGTATTGTTACTTTTCGGTGAGGCCCAGCATCTATCCTGAAGCCCTTACAGCACCAGTGTCAGCAGAGCATAATTCCCATCTCCCCAAAGGTGGAAAACCACCCAACACTCAACCTATGCTGCCTGCTTCCCTTCCAGCACTTATACCACTAAGGTCTGCACTTACCAACAGCCCTAAAAAAACAGGCAGCAAGGGGAGAAATGCCCCTGGTCAAGAGATATCATCCTTTTGGGGAGGTGAACAGATCATAGCTGAACGCCCCCCCACCCCGGGAGCTTGGCCACGTGTGCAAATGATCATTCTATTTCCAGTGTTATTTTCTGTTAAACAGAGCTAATTGCTCAGGATATGCTTTTCCCCATGCAAAACTAAGCGAATCTTCCTGGGCTTGAGATTCTAAACAGACCTTTAAACATTTCCAGCCAAGCAGAGGGGAAGAATTCAGCTCTGAGTCAGTTCCTGCAGTACTAGTATCTGAAACACAAGTACCATAGCCAGCCTCCTTACACTCCTGTACCACCGCACCTCCCATGCAACAAGCCTCCCTTTGGAAAAGCACTCACCAGGTAAAGGCATTAGCATGCAACCCTAGTCCCCATCTAGGGATGATACATAGTGGAGGAGTTAATGCAGATAACTTTGACCTTCCCTGGTAACTTCCATATGAGACATCAAAGTGCTTTACAAACAGTGGATTTATTACACATTACAACCTGCCTAACATCTGATTCACCAGGTACCTGCCAGACCTGACCTTACACTTTTCTTTCCCTTCCTCCCCCTTTCTCCCCTCCCTTCCTTTTCTGCCCTTCATCTTCCCAATTTCCAGCTATTACCTTTTTCACAAACTGCCTCTTTTCTACCTTGAATTGCTACTACTGTAGAATCTCCCTTACTCACCTTTAACTCCCCCCTCTGCTTTTTCCCCCTCCCTTTCCTGCTCTGCCTTTTGTCTTTCTAATTTCTACCTATTTACATGTTCACTGACATCCTGTTACACTTTTAGCTTCTCTCATTCCTTGGAGTCTCAGAACAGCAGGGATTTCCTATGCCTGAAGAAGGGTGATTGTGCCCAAAAGCTTGCTAAAACCTTTTTTTCTAACTACTCAGGTGGTCTAATAAAAGATATCACATCTACTTAAACAACCTTGCCTTACAAACATCAGTAAATTAAGGCTTTTTTTTGCTGCTGCAGAGTACCTACCAGCAGTCACTTCAAGGCTGAAATGTACCACCTGAGGGCTGCAGTTTAGGACAGGAAGCAAACGAAACCATAGGAAAATGTAAATGGCCAGAACTGAATCACCTGAGTTGGAATTTGGCCAGGAGTTAGCAAGTCCAAACCTTGCTTTTATCTAGGCAGCTTCTAATACCACACAGGGGCCATGACTCAGTCAAAGGAAGAGCACTTACTGTCTTTATTACCAGCTCTTGTAGCACTCAACATCTCCCTTCTTAGCCTTAATGTGCCCGAGCCTTGTTGGCTCCTGAGATTAGAGTAGCTTACATCTGAAACAACCACAGCACATGCTGAGATACCATTAAGAACTAGTCACCTTTCCCTCTCTCCTCCAGGCCCAATTAACCAAGATTGTGATGGTTTCATTCAAAATCACAACTCCTCAGGGCAGGCAAAGCGTGTTTTAACATGTGCGTGATTTTTCTTTTTGTGAACTGACATGTTCCTTTGTAAGCACCTGACAGAGGAGCACACCTGGGAGGCAACAAGCCAAGCTTGTCCAAGGAAAGTGGGATAGAGTTTAATGTTTCTGTGCTTCCTGAACCAGGAAGTTTTTAGACTTTTTTAAAAGATTTCATAGATAGGGACCTACTTAAATTGCAGTGACACTAAATACTTTTCCTAGGTTGGTTGCAGCATAAAGAGCAAATTTTGCAGATATTTCCTGGATGTGCTCTGCCGCCACCACCTCTCAGTGCTGACTGGTGGAGAGGCTCCAGCAAAGGAGGAGGGACAAGGGGGTGGCTGCCATCTTGTCTGCTGCCATTTCTACGGCCCTGCCTCTTGGCACCAAGTGATGGAGAGGCTTTAGCAGGGAGAAGGAGGGATAAGGAGGCAGCTGTCATCTTATCTGTTGGCCTTCACACAGCCCTTTCCTCCCTGGGTGGGCTGCAAGGTTTGGCTGTAGTAACAAGGACTGCTGGTGCCCACTGGGGAGCCAGCACTTTATTTATTTATTTTAAAGATGATTTCGTAGACAACCCCAGATTTTGCAGTTTCACAAAATCACTTATGGAGTAGACCCCAAGTTATAAATTCTGCACAAACTGAGCCAGATTAGTTAATGGGCTGAATGTATCCACATTTAACCATCCCTAGCAGGGTCCTGACCAAGAATGGCTTTACAGTGATGTATTGAGACCCTACCGAAAAGCTGAATGATTGAGAAATGGGGTTTGTGCAGGCTTTAGGGTTTCAAGGAATGTGGTATGTCCACAGTAATTCCTGTTGTTCCAGACAGGATGACACTGTCAAGCAGCCAGAGTTATTGCATAGGGAGCCATTTCATAGGCAGTGCTTAGAAAACTCTTTTGTTGGTTTAAATAAAAGCAGTGAAGGATCAGAAGCTAGACAAGAGAAGTGGTTCCTGAGAGAGTCTGTTTATAAAAGCAGACACAGACACAGTAGAAGTCTGTAAGGCTAGGGAAAGATTTTGCAAGCTGCTAGAGGTCAGGGGAATGAGATGAAGGGAGTACCTATAATTTGCCTGTGCGCATTAGAAGCCATGTAAAATCAGTCTTCTCCCCAAATTGGCTGCAATGGAGGGAGGCTGACAAGGAGGAGACACCCAGTTTTCTTGTACCTGACTGACTAGTCAATCAGTGTGAGGACAGTAAGGTTCGCATGACTTGAATGATACTGAGATTACCTAGGATGGCACTTCTAGCTAGCATTTCCTCCACTGTCATCCCTTTTGACTCCAAGAGATCATTGTATGGGATCGTTCTGAAACAAAGGCAAGGAAAAAGAAGAAACACGGGGAGGACCGTGGGAAGATGAGGAACAGAAATCTGAGCTGGATTATGCAGGTGCCTAAATAAAATGGATGAACAGGAATGGAAGGAGGACAAGAAAGGCTCTCTCTCTTTCAGTTTTAACTGTAACAGTAAGGGGGCAGCCTTGGAGACTGAAGCATGTTTACAGAACAGGAATAGTAGTGGCAGGGACAATTTCCTACCAACAAACCTCCACACCATACTACTGGGGTGATTGCTGTGATATGGTCTCCATAGCCTCACTGCTGTTTTTGGGGATAACCAACAACTGCCAGTAGTTGGTAGCTGGAACTGCACCGGGAGATTATTGTGCAGTCCATTTTAAATCTATTAAAAACAATGTCATAAAGCAGCTCACCTCTTCACCATCTCAGTGACGGTCTCTCCAGTCACCTCTGGCAGCAGGCAGAAGGCTGGCATGTCACCTCCCGGGCAGCAGGTCTCAATCCACACCCATGTTGACTGTGTCTCTGTTTTTCTGCAGGTGATTAGAGAGTGGGGCTCGGGCAGTTCCTATGCGCTGGAAGCCGCTGTTATCACTGGCTCTTGCATCTCTCTGGCAATAAAATCTGTCCTGTTTTGGGCATTGTTCCATGTCTACCACAGCTTTGGGCAGGGGCTGAGAGAAAGAAGTAAGTACTGAAAGTGTTAAGTAGGCCTATGCAAGATGACCATAGTTAATCACAAGATAGCCACTCTCAAGCAGAGAGTTGTCAGGCAGGAATAATACTGAGAACAAAGAAACAGTTCATGGAAACAGACATCCTTAATTATAGCTGCTGAATTTACGGACCTGGCAATCAGCTAGTTGGCTCCTGCAGGGACAGGGGGACATGCGCACTCTCCACAAAGGTGTCTCTGAGTCTGGGCTGTGGCACCTATACAGAGAGCAGCTCTTTGGCATTTTTCCTTGCATAGTGAACAAAGACAGGCTCTTTAGTCTCCATGGTGCCCTAAAAACTAACTGATCCTCACACTACCCAAAAGAGGAAGCTTTAGAGGTACAGAAACACAATCCCTGGTCTGTCTATAGTGCACAGCTGCAGGGAAACCCCAGCTAGCGCCACATGAAAGGTGGGGGGGAGCTGAACTGAGTGATGCATAAGGTCAGTGCAGTTCAAGTCCTGGTACCTGAGCTAATTCAAGTGTCTCTAAATGGCACTGCACCATGCAGTGCAAACATAGAGTGATAGGATGTACCCAGGCCACAGGCAACCGCCTTCCTAGTTGGGCTCTGAACTTAGGAATTTCCATGGCCTGCTCCTGTGCTGAAACTACCAGCCCATCCCTGCCTGGCAGTGGAGGGCATGGGATGAAAAGGTGGCCCTGACAATTATTTTCCTCTGCCTTTCTCCCCACAGTGTTTTCTTCCTATGGAAGGATCGATTCCTGAGGCATAGTATCGCTGTTGGGTCCAAGCTGGTGCTCTCAGAGCGAGACTGCCATCGGAAGGATTTGATCACACACCCTGTCTGCAGAACATGAGGCGGCAGCATCAGTTTTGCTGTGGGGGGATGGGAGGGGACTGATCTGAAGACTCAGCCTAAGCGTGGGACCTCTGGGCTCCTCACCTCTTTGGCCCTTCCACATTATGGCTTGGTTTCAATTTGTTTTGTAAGCAGTTGCGGCACGGCAGCTGTTCACATTGTTTCTAGAGCCTCTGCCTGCTTTTCAGACTAACGCCAACCTTTTGTCGCACCTGTCCTGCTTCCAGGATGATGCACCTTTCATTCTTTTTCACACATTGCTGCTATGGCCACCTCTGTGACCAAAGGAGGTTTACTACGTACATGTGAGTGGGGAGTGTTACTCCTGTGAATGCTGGCTTTATTCATAACGGAGGTTAACTACAGAGCAAACTCTGATCTCACCGTCTGTGCGAGAACCACATTGACTTGGGCTTTCTGATTGAAAGCCTAGGAATGGATCACCCTCCCATGATTCCCTGATGGGGCTATGGTGTTCAGCAGTGACCCCAACAGCCCCATGGTGCATGCCTTCTCTTGCCATGCTGCAGTTATGAAGTGATTTTTAAAAGCCTCCCACAATGTTCCTATGACGGTTTCATGTCTCTGATGTAGCCATGTGACTGCTTATACATAACAGCAGGGCAAGGATTCCTGCTCCCCACTGACTTCCTGTGAAAGTGGAATATTTATTTTTTTAATCCCAACTAAACATTAAAATAATCAAAATATATTCATATTAACCACATATCTCTCAGTGTGTCTAATAAATGTGCCATTTCAGACCCAAGTTTGATTGTTACAATAAGCCTTTACTAGTATAAAAAGTTCGTTATTTTATTAATTGAAGCTTTTGTTACTAGCTTTGTATTTTTCAATAAAGTGTAAACAGAGTTTGGGCATGGACAGTCATTTCTTCTCATATCAGCAACAGAACTTGCAGGGGAATCCAGCATACAAAATATGGAAGAGGCTACACCTGTAAGTTTTGTTGGTTGTATCTAATTTTTAGACATGCACTGATATATTGGTTGCATATCTGATCAGCACCTATAAAAGAAAAATTAACATTATTGGCAACTGGTTTTTTTGGCCTGAGTAGCCAATAACATCACTGATAAATGCCATGTTCTTGCATGCAGCCACAGCACACGTGACCAGGAATGCAGCCCAGCAGTGTGGAGAACAGCCTTCTGCGGGTAAGTCTTGGGGTGGGGG